TCCCGGTACCGGAGGAAAAAAAAAAAAAAAAAAAAAGTCTTAATGTTTTAATACTGAATACTGACTACACTGATCTATAAAGTCAATGCAATCTTTATCAGAATGCCAGCTTCTGTAGAAACTGACATGCCGATGGTAAAATTCCTAAACATGCCTGGTGATGCACATCTGTAATCCCACTACTTGGGAGGCTAAGGCAGGAGGACTGCCATGAGTTTGAGGCTGGCATGGGCTTTGTAGTGAGTTCAAAGCCACCCTGAACTACACAACAAGAACCTGTCTCAAGAAAACAAAACAAAAAAGCAAATGCTGTATAATACATTTTGTTGGTTTTTGTCACTGGTTCCTACAGGAAGAATCTATTCTGTATTTTTGTGATGGGCTGGGGATATAGGCTTGTGGTAGAGTACATGCACAATGCCCTGAGTTTAATTCCCAGCATCACCAAAAAATAAAACAGAAAGAAGAGTCTTTGGAATACCCTGAGTTGATACTACTAATGAGGTGAGAAGACTCAAATGGAGGCTGGTATTATGGTTTGGATCTTATATATCCCCCAAAGGCACATTTGTCTTTTTATTTTGAGATAGGATCTCACTATGTAGCCCAGGCTGGCCTTGAATTTGAGACTATCCTTCTGCCTCAGCCTCCTGAGGCTTTTCTCTTTGCAGAGTCTTCTGTGTATTGTTTTGCTGTAATAAGTCACAGCCATGAGGATAATATATTGAGTCCTGTGAGTTCCCGTAGGAAATCATCAAACTGGGGGTGGTCTTGGGAATATCTGACAGCTTCTCTCTGCTTGTTTGGATTCTTTTTCAAAATTATTTTTATTTATTTTTATTTTTTGCTTGTTTGGATTCTACTCTTTTCTGAGGTCTTTCTATCTGGTTTCTGTACCTGGGAGTGGTTCCTCCCTAGGCTTAGTGAGGCTGTAGGCACAGGCTTTAGAAATAGGGACTAAGAAGGCCAGTCTGAAGTTCATAGCAAGACCCTGTCTCAAAAAGCCAAAAAAAAAAGTATGTTTATTACTATGTTTCCTACAACCATTGAGAATAGTCAATGGTCTATTTAATTGGTCACTCATGTATAGCTCTATTTATTTTCTTTAGAAACAACTTTGAAGATACCAAAGTATAATACAACAACCATTGATAATAACCTACCACTTTTGTAGCTCACTATTATTTATCAATTTGTTTTCCTGAGAAACTATCTTGTAGATAACAATACGTAAAACAACAACCATTGATAATTTCCTACCACTTTGTCTGTAATTCAATCAGCCCCCCCATTACTGTTATCCTTCTTTTACTCTTCAAAAGTTAAAAAAAAAAAAGATAAAAGAAAAAGAAATAGGAACTCAAATCAAATCCTGCCTCTGTGCAGCATGGTTAAGCGCTCGTAAATGATGCCTCTTTGTACACTGTTTAACTTGCTCGAATGGTACTTAATCGTGGTGAATTTAGTTTCCCTAAAAGCACAGGATTTGCAGACAGACCTGGGTTTGAGCTTGACTCTTACCTTCTGGCAGCCTGTTTCTTCATCTACAAAGTGTCAAATCTAGTTTAACTTGAGGGAATCATACAGTAGTGAACATAGTGCAAGTGGGAACTTAATGTTTTACTTACTGGTATTCAAGTATTTCCCCAAATGGACAGGAAGTATCTTACTGTTCTAGATCTCTTTTAGGGCTGATTAATCTCTTATACAGAACAGGTGGTTAGAATTTTGCTAAAAGGACATTTACTCTGTAATAAAAGGCTTGATTCTATTGCTTAGGTAAAACATAGAATTCTGGGTGTACCTGAATGGTACAGTGCTTGCCTTGCATGAACAAGGCCCTCGATTCCCTCCCCAGCACCGTAAAATATAGTAATGGTAATAATAAGGTAGTAGTTATCACCTGTTTTTTTGCAGTGGTAGGGATGGCTCCCCTCTACCCCAGTACTAGACATGGAACCCAAGCATGCCAAGCAATCAAATGTTCTACCACTGAGCTAAAACCCCAGTCCTTTATTTTGTAACACAGGGTCTCACTATGTAGCGTAGGCTGGCCTTGAATTTACCACGTAGCCCAGGCTGGGCTCTCATGGAGATCCTCTTGCTTCAACTTACAGAGCGCTGGGATTACAGGTATGTGCCACCACACCTGGCCAACAATGTCGTTTTTATTTATCCCCCAAATCAGAAATGGTTTGCTGGGAAGTCCAGCAGCGTCCGAAGCTAATCCCCACAGGTAAAGGGAACATTTCTTTCAAGTTCCTCTAAAGATGTGTTTAAGGCAGTGTTGACCATCCTTCTTTTGGAGGTCAGGTTGTTTTGGTCCTAATCACTGTTCTGAAGAAGGAATGAAAATTGTCTACACGGTATTTCAAAGCTTCATCTCCTCCTCTACAGAAACACTCACTGTAACTGGGATATCTGCTTGCATTGTGACTAAATGACTCCCAGAGTGTTTTCAGACATGTAATCCTTCACTGTAAATTGCGCATGTGTATGTGTGTGTGTACAGTGATGACTATAGGGTATTTCCAAGAATCTTTTGGCCAAACAGCTGCTGTGATTAATTTGCCTTCTGAAGATCAGTAAGGAAAAAAAATCAGTAAGCCTTCAATTGTTAACTGAGTATAACTAGGTAAGTAGTCACAAAATATAAATTTTTAGACAAGAACAGGAGCCGCAGTTTCAAGCTTTTGGAGTAGTTTGGTTCAGATCTATGACTTTTAAAGTTATTAACAAGTGATTTTTCTCTGAAAGAGAAAAATGAATGTTATTTCTCAGAATTTTTTTTTTTTCTGGTACCGGGAACTGAACTCACTACCTTGCGTTTGCCAGGCAGGTGCTGTGCCACTGAGCTAAATCCCTAGCCCCATCTCAGAATTTTTAATCAGAATTTTGTTTACTGTTTTAACCTTTCTGGATCAAGAGACTTAACAAACAAAAAACAATCTTTTTTTCCCTTGGAAATGGATCAAGAACTTGTGCTAATTTTCCAAAGATCTAGGAAGGCAGGTGGAACTGCTCTGGGTTGAATTAGATGAGTACAGAAATTGTGACAAGCAGCTGGGTGTGGTGGTGCACGTCTGTAATCCCAGCACTTGGGAGGCTGAGGCAGGAGGATCGTTGCGAGTTCGAGACCAGCCTGGGCTACAAAGTGAGCTCAAGGCCAGCCTGAACTGCACAGAGAGACCCTGTCTCAAAAAGACAAAAAAAAAAAAAAAAAAAGAAATCGTGATAAGAATGTCAGCTGGCTGCACCATGATTAAAACTTCTCCACTCCACCAGAGGAGGAGCAGAAATGTGGTCAAGTTTAATACCAGACTAATTTTTTGGGGTGGTGGGAGTATTTTTAAAGACAGGGCCTCGCTATGTTCAGGCTGGCCTTGAATTCACTGTGTAGCCCAAGCTGGCCTTGAGCTTTCGATC